GGGGGGGGGGGGGAATTAGGAAATTACCCCAGTGAGGAGTCGGATCGCCCAAGGCCACATTTTCACAATTAGTTCTCGTACTGATTTTGTTCTTGTTTATTTTATCGCTCAATTCTAACGCTGTTACCCTCACCGTGGGTTACGCGTCAGCTTTGTGACGAGGGAAGTGGAGCGGAGCATCGGGGAGAGCTACGAAGTCGGCGCTACAACAAATGACGAGTTGGCACACCGACAAGCACGCACACACCGAGTCTGTAGAGACTCTGTTATAGATGGCGTTACATGGGTGTGACTAGCATGCTGTGTGTGGGAGTGCTGAGTGGGAGTTATGTATAAGATGGCGTGGATTGAATAAAGACCTTTTATACGCACTGGTATTAATTAGTGATTAATCCCAACATAACATGGCACTGCGTTAAAAAGTGATAAAAAATCAAACAAAAGTAGATAGGCAGAAAACAAACTATAAAATTTTGAAGAAAACAGTGAAGAAAGTCGAGAAACATGGCAGACGAGGTTTTGCAGCAGTTGACTGGTGCAATCGCACGATTGGATAATGGCGTCGTTGGCTTGAAACCCCCAGACACGCTACAAGAATTGAATGCTGAGCAATTTAAAAAATGGGCACAAAGTTTTGAGATTTATCGCGTAGCATCAGGAAGTGATAAAAGTCCAGAGGAAGTACAAATTGCATTATTATTACATTGTATGGGAAGAGTGTGCATTGACATATATGACACATTTACGTTGACTGAGGAAGAGGGAAAGAGCTATAAAGCGGTTTTGGAGAAGTTTATGAATCACTTCATACCATTAAAAAATGAAAGTGTAAATTCCCATCTATTTTTTACAAGAAATCAGAGTGAAGGGGAAGCCTTTGATACCTATTTAACAGAATTAAAGAGGCTGAGTAAGGACTGTGAGTTTGGAGAATTGAGAGACAGATTAATAAGAGACAGAATTGTAGCAGGCATTGGAAATAAGAAATTGAAAGACAGGTTACTGAGAGAACTTGATCTTACACTGCAAAAGACAGTTCAGATTTGTAAAGCAGCAGAGTTGGCCAGTGAGCAAGTGAAAAAAATGGATGGACAAGCAGAGGTTCAAATGATACAAAAGAAACCTGATAACAAAGCTGGGAATGGACATGGACAAGAGAAAAAATCAAACACAGGTGGAACGAGACAAAATTTCAGTGGTAACAGTAGTAACTGGAGACCCCAGAATAGATACAAAATGTGGAGACCTCAGAATAGTAACAATACGTGAAGAAATCAAACTGGTGAAGGGGCGTCGGGAAGTCAGAGTGCATCAAGTGAGAGACGTCCAACATACGGTAATGCAGATCGATAAGGCTGTCAACGTTGTGCTATCAGCATTCAAGAGGGATGTGTCCAGCTTATATGAAGACTTGTGATGAATGTGGTAAGATGAGGCATTTTAAAAAGAAATGTCGATCAACGGAGATAAGAGAAGTACAAGTTGAGGATGGTGATGAAAATGGTGATTTGGCATTGTTTGTAATAAATATTGATAATGTTAATTCTGAAAGATGTTGATATGAGAATGTGGAATTTACGGATCAGAGAGAAAAAGTAAAATTTAAACCCGATACAGGAGCTCAATGCAATGTGATATCAAAGAATGTATGTGAAAGATTGGGAATTAAGTCTGTTCAGCAGTCAAATTTGAGATTAGCAAATTACAATGGAGATCGAATAATAACAGTGGGTGAGATTAATGTAAAATGTAAAATTGCAAGTAATGTTCAAAGAGTAAATTTTCAAGTCTGTCAGGGTGATTTTGTTTCAATATTAGGATTGCCGACACTGAATGCACTGAAATTGATAAAAAGAAATATACAGCAAGAGGTAAATTCAATTAAATTCACGGATAAAAATGAGATGTTAAAAGAGTATGGAGATTTATTTCAGGGTGTTGGACAAATTGAAGGGTATGAGTACAAAATTAAATTGAATGAAGATGCAAGTGGTAAAGTAGAATCATGCAGACATGTTCCTTTCAAATTAATGAAAAAATTAAAAAGTGAATTAGAGAGAATGTCAAAATTGAGTATGATTTCAAAAGTGAAAAAACCAACAGATTTTGTAAGTTCTTTGGTAATGACAACTAAACCTGATGGATCGTTTAGAGTTTGTTTGGATCCTCAATATTTAAATACACAAATACAGAGAGAACCGATGTTAATACCGACTTGAGATGAAATAACTGCTAAATTAAATGGAGATAAAATATTTAGTACATTAGATGCAGATAAAGGGTTTTGGCAAATAGTTTTGTCTGAAGAGAGTAGAGATTTAACAATGTTTAACACACCATATGGGAGATATTGTTTCAACAGATTGCCATTTGGATTGAGTACAAGTCCAGAAATTTTTCACCGTGTATTCACAGGGATATTTGAAGATATTGAAGGAGTTGAAATTTATATTGATTATGTTTTGATACATGCTAAAGCAGAACGAGAACATGATGAAATACTAAAGAAAGTCTTAGGAAGAGCCAGAAAATGTAGAGTCAAGTTTAATAAGAATAAATGTCAAATTAAAGTTAATGAAGTTAAGTACCTTGGTCATGTGATAAGTGACAAAAGATTAAGAGTTGATACTGATAGAACTGAAGCAATTGTGCAAATAGAAGAGCCAAAGACTCAAAAAGAATTACTTAGATTTCTAGGAATGGTAAACTATGTTTCTAAATTTACTCCAAATGTATCAGAAGTGACAGCTCCACTGAGAATGTTAATTAAGAAAAATGTACCATATATCTGGTCTGAATCTCAGCAAAAAGCTTATGACTTAGTGAAGAAATTGTTATGTGAATCACCAGTCTTGTCATATTTTGATATTGATAAAAAGATTGTTTTGAGTGTAGATGCTTCTAAAAATGGTTTGGGTAGTATCATTTTGCAAGATGAAAAACCAGTGGCTTATGGGTCCAGATCATTAACAGAGACTGAGAAGAATTATAGTCAGATTGAAAAAGAAAGTTTGGCAATTTTGTATGGCTGTACGAAATTTCATCAATATTTATATGGACAAAGATTTATTGTAGAGACAGATCATAAACCTTTAGTATCAATTTTTTCTAAACCATTAAACAAATTTCCAGCAAGATTACAGAAGATAAGATTGGCCATACTGCCTTACAGTGTTGAATTGAAGTATAAACCTGGTAAAGAATTAGTCATAGCAGACGACCTTAGTCGCTCATATTTGAATGATACTTCTCAAACATATGATTTGGGAATTGAAGCTCATGTAGCTATGATTGATGAGAGTTTTAATATAACAGATAATAAAGTGCGAGAAATTAGAGATGAGACAAGCAAGGACGAAGAGCTTAAAACTGTCAGAGAGTATATCAAAAATGGTTGGCCAAATAATAAATATGATGTAGTGAGTACTGGAAAGTTATATTTTAGTTACAGAGATGAACTAAGTGAGAGTAAAGGGATAATATTTAAGAGTACACAGATGGTAATCCCGCAAAGTTTGAGAAAAGAAACATTACAGAAAATTCATTATGCCCATTTAGGGATTGATAAATGTAAATCGTTAGCGAGAAAATGTGTATTTTGGCCAGGAATGGGCAAGCAGATAGAAGATTTAATTCATAATTATGATACTTGTAAACGTTATCAGAATAATAATGCTAAAGGACCGATGATATGTAAAGAAGTTCCAAATGGACCATGGGAGATTGTATTTGCAGATATATTTTTTCTCTATGGAAATCCTTATATTTTAATAGTAGATGCATATAGTAAATATGTAGAGATCAAACAGTTGAGAAATTTATCAGCAGGTTGTACGATTAATAACATGAAAGAGATATTTGCGAGACATGGTGTACCAGAAGAGGTGTATTCAGATTCAGGAACTCAGTTCACAAGTCGAGAGTTTCAAATATTTGCTAGGGAGTGGAATTCTGTGCATAAAATTATTAGTCCAAAGCATCATATTGGAAATGGGTTAGCAGAGAGATATATATACAGACTGTTAAAAGAATGTTGAAGAAGATGATAGAAGAGAAGAAAGATATAAATCTAGGATTACTTATATACAGAAATATACCAGTGTCAACTGACGGTAAAACTCCAGCAGAATTGTTATACAATAGAAAAGTGAAGAATGTGATTCCAAACTGGAGAGCTGATGGTAATTATAACAAGGAAGAATTCAGAAATGAGTTATTGAGAAGGCAACAAAAACAAAGAGATTATTTTGATAAACACAGCAAGCGATTGCCAGAGTTGAAGAGAGGTGAGGTAGTTCAAATTCAAAATGAAAATAATCAGAAACCTCACAAAAGTGGAGTGATTATTAATCGAGATGAAAATCCAAGGGCTTATCAGATTAAAGATGAACATGGAGAAGTTTTGAAGAGAAATAGAAAGATGCTGATTAGAGGCGGTCACTATAATGAACCAGATGAGTACTTGGAGGAAGATAGCGAGGGAAATGTTGATAATCAAAATCAGGGTGAAAACGATAATTCAAATGCAATAAATCAAAATAATAATTCAGCTGCAAATGAACAGGAGAGGCCTGGAGTCTCAAGTCGAGCTCAAGGAACTAATTACTGTACTAGGTCTGGTAGAGAAGTGAAAAAACCAGCTTATCTTAAGGATTACGTTTAAGGGCCAAAGGTCATATTTCATGTTATATTTCGAAGTCTATATGTTTCTATAAAATGGTGAAAGGAAGCTAGAAAAAACAAAGGTGTCATAGATGGCGCTACTTGGGTGTGACTAGCATGATGTGTGTGGGAGTGTTGAGTGGGAGTTATGTATAAGATGGCCTGGATTGAATAAACCCCTTTTATACGCACTAGTATTAATTAGTGATTAATCCCAATATAACAGACTCACACCAACAAGCTCGCGGGAGACGATAGTCGTACGCCAGCAGGCAACTCAAGCCTCTACGTGTGGACTCCCACCACCTTACCGATGTTACTGTGGCGCAAGGCCACCACATAAAAAACTCAGGCTGTAGCATCGAAGGAGCATCGGATCATGTTGGCTCCGCTGCCGTTGATTCCAGAACAGTTCACTGATTGTGAGGCGCAAGTTCCAGTCTTTGGGACCATTAAATTAGGAATTATGGCCCGTGCAAATGCACGATTAGAACATGAATTCTCCGCCCGACATCGGTAGATTAGAGTGAGGGTAAGAGAGTAATTGAGGTTCCTCTGGGCAATGTATTGCCCGAGGAATCACTCTTCGCTGGGATTTCAGCTTGTAAAGTTGCTCTGCGCAATTAAGTCGATTTGCTCTTCGAGCTCATTAGAAAATTCAAGTAATTAGTCTTTGGGGTATTGTGCCTGGCTTTTTCCGGTCATCGTCCGAGATCGCTGCCGTATCCAAGGGTCCAGACGAGGTTTTCTCAAAGTTAATCGTGGATCAACGGTGAGCGTAATTTTGTTTATGAGTGCTCGCGTGGCTTTCTAACGTATAGCCTCCGGTCGCCATTTGGGCACCGTTTGAGTATTAAGTAGTCGTACTGTGAGACATGGCACTCAGTGGCCTTGGGCCTAATTAATTTTCTTATTTTCTGAACATCAGTGTTTCATTTCTTTTCATTGTGATTCTTTTTGGAACTGTATTTTCGTTGTCCGCGTGGCTCTCGCGTCGTCGTCGCGTTCGAATGATCTTCGCGTCCGTGCGTTATCCATGCCATTGAATTCTTTGGTTAATAATTACCAAGATTTATTGAAGATTAAATCGAGTTCCGTTAGTTCTCTCCACTAGTCGGAGTTTATGATTTTGCAATTATCACTACCGTTTTCTATGATTATTATTTAGGTTTAATGTTTTTTTTGATTGCGAGTCGGGGAATTTACCCCTTTATTTTTTTTTGTTAGAATACTTTTATTTTACAGTGTTGAGTGTATCATTTTTTTGCCTGTTCCCACACGCCTCCGCGGTTATCTGAGCTGGTCGTGGAACGCGCTTCGACATTGTGACCTTGTCCTTTGAAGGTTAAAAGGACTGGCGCCCTTCTAGTATTTTTTTTTTTTGGTTCCTCTCGTTGATCATCTTCGTACTTTATTCGGGTGGAGAGGTTCTATTCAGGGCGACCAAAGTTCGTGAAGGACCACACGTATGATGCCCGCATACGTGATTGGAAAAATACCTCACAACTTTTTGGCACGGGGAATCGCCCGCCCCCCAAAAAAAATCTTATAGAGGCCATCATTCCTTGGATTAAATATGTATTATATTTGCATAATACAAAATTGTAGTCCATTTAGTTCGCCGCCCTTTTCAGTGGCGGTCCACAACTGGCGCTTATGCCCGGATCGTGGGGCGGACAAGCCTCGTCCCTGGTGGCCTCTCAATGCCATGACGCCCGGGGTTGCAGTAAGGATAGTTCATGTTATTCATGCCCTCCTCCCCGCATTTTCCACAAAATGTCCCCCTGAAATACGGGCAGTCCGAAGCACGATGAGATGGGTTACTGCAGTTGCCGCAGCCCGATCGAGCACTCCATTCCATTTACATGGGTGGGCTTCACTCGATTTGGTTGGCGAGGTCCCGAGCTCGACCATTGCTCTCCTCCGCTCTGACACATGGCACGGGTCTGTAGCGCGCATTAGTCGCGCATGCTTGCAAGCGAGGAGGGTCGCTCACCACGATGGACTTCAGGTCCGCCATCATCTCCTCCACTAGGGTTTGGAGCTTGGCCACAATGGGCACCACCTCGTCGAAAACAGGGTGTTCGCTCCCGAGGTCTGGCTTCTCCACCATCTCCTCCAAGATTGCCAAACCTTCCGTGGCCGATTTCAAGCCGGCCAAAGCCTGCTTCACCTTAACCTGCTCCATGATGTAGGGAGCGAATAACGGACCATAAACAACTAATGAGATGAGAGGATAAATACCACGAGTTTCCTAATATCGTGGCTCACTCGTCGTCAGTATCGCGCGCGAGTCGCTGATTGTCCGCGGATGCCACGAGTTGCAAGTCTTTGACGTGGTGTCTACCCGTGATATTACCTGCCGCATCTAATAATTCGTCAACAAAATCCGAGTCTATCTCTTTGCTAGGGTAAACCTTCGTACTCCACTTTCGAGTCAACTTGGAGGTAAAGCCGCTCCGTCGTGAAGACAGTACTCGTATCTTACACCGGACTAAATCGTCGTCCGCGAATTTTACGTCTCGATGGTGACGATTGTAATAGCGAGCTTGCTGCTCGAACGACCTATCCAAATTATTAGAAATTAAATCATAAATTTCTGTCATGCGTTCCATCCTTTTCGTCCATTTCGCGGTATTCGGGACCGCTATCTCTTCGTCTAGCCCTTTCATTTTGCGCAAAAATAAAGTATCGCGAGGCTGACGACCGAAATTCAAACACGCGGGCAAAACATGTAACGAGCTGTGGAGCGCAGTATTATACGCTGAGCGAAATTCGTTCAGGGGCAAATCCCATTCACGATGATCTTGTTCGACGAAACAAATCATCATCGTTTTCAACACACGATTTACGCGTTCAATGGGATTGGCTTGAGCGTGGTGCGGTGGTGTGGTTGTATAGTGGATATTAAAGGATTTCGTCATTTCCTGCATTAATTTATAGAATCACGCGAGGTGTCCCCCAGCGAAAAATTATTAAATTTTCAAATTCGGCGATGATGGATCTACCATCCGCCTTTTTTTTTTAATGGTGCCACCTCCACCCACTTAGTAAACAAATCCTGAAAACCCAATAGGTAACAATAACCTGATTTGCTCGGTGGAAATGGAGTCATGATATCCGCGGCAACCACTGTCCACGGTTCATGAAAAACACGCTGTCCCATCAACTCGGCGGGTTGTAATTGTGAGACTTTACACGTCTGGCAAACTTCACATGAAGTGACGTATTTAACTACATCCTCGGACATTCCCGGCCAATAATACGCGAGGGCTACTCGAGCTTGCCTTTTTTCAATCCCTAAGTGACCTGACCGCAGTAAGTCATGGCATTCTGAAATAATGTCTAATCGCGATAACTTCGAGGGAACGAGCTCCCACGCCTCGAGGTCCTCCGCAACCGTTGAAACCAAGGGATTCGGTCGGTATCGAAACAACTGATTGTCGACCGAAAGGCGTCAATCAGCCAAAATCTGCAGCGGCGTCTTGTAGCTGGTTCCCGACTTACAGACGCCTTTCTGCGAGAATACCACTCGTACTCCGCTTCCGCCGCGCTCTCTTTAATAATGTTTCGCTCACTTCCTTCCGCAGAAGTATTCGGGTCTTCAACAGCATTAATTTCATTATCTTCAGCCTGCGTACACTCGTCCTCGTACATTCGTGATAACGCGTCGGGAACTTCATGGAGTTTTCCAGACCTATGCACAAGATCGTAATCGTACTCCTGTAAACTGAGTGCCCACCTTCCTAACCGTCCGANACCTGACCGCAGTAAGTCATGGCATTCTGAAATAATGTCTAATCGCGATAACTTCGAGGGAACGAGCTCCCACGCCTCGAGGTCCTCCGCAACCGTTGAAACCAAGGGATTCGGTCGGTATCGAAACAACTGATTGTCGACCGAAAGGCGTCAATCAGCCAAAATCTGCAGCGGCGTCTTGTAGCTGGTTCCCGACTTACAGACGCCTTTCTGCGAGAATACCACTCGTACTCCGCTTCCGCCGCGCTCTCTTTAATAATGTTTCGCTCACTTCCTTCCGCAGAAGTATTCGGGTCTTCAACAGCATTAATTTCATTATCTTCAGCCTGCGTACACTCGTCCTCGTACATTCGTGATAACGCGTCGGGAACTTCATGGAGTTTTCCAGACCTATGCACAAGATCGTAATCGTACTCCTGTAAACTGAGTGCCCACCTTCCTAACCGTCCGACCGGGTCTTTCAAATTGTGAAGCCATCGTAACGCGCTATGATCGGTAACTAGCGTAAAATGGTAACCTTGGATATAACGTCTGAAATGGTCGACAGCCCACACGACCGCCAGACACTCTTTTTCCGAAACCGAGTATTTACGTTTGGCCTTTTTCATAGTTCGGCTTGCGAATGCTACTACATACTCGACCCCATGGATAGTTTGGGTGAGAACGGCTCCATAAGCACTCGCGTCGGTCTGAACAGTAAATGGAACCGAAAAATCCGGACACGACAAAACTGGTGCAGTCGACAGCGCGGTTTTAATACGCGAAAACGAAGTCAATTGCTCGTCACCCCACCTCCATTTCATGTCCTTACGCAACAGACACGTAATAGCCTCCGCCATGGATGCAAAATCGGGGACAAAACGATGATACCACATACCGAGAAAACGTCGCACTTGACGTACAGTACGAGGTCCCGGATAATTCAACACCGGTTTGACCTTGGACGGATCAATATGAAGACCCGTTTCGTCCACAATAAATCCAAAATATTGAAGGCGGTTACTACAGAACACACTCTTCTCCAAATTTATTTCGAGGTTTGCGCCGCGCAGCCTCATTAAGACTAACGCAAGGTATTTAAGGTGGTCCTCGAATGTTTGAGTTACGACGATAATGTCCGAGTACGCGAACGCGAATGGCTCGAGTTCTGGACCAATCAGTTTATCAGCGAGATGCTGAAAGGTCGCGAGAGCATTGGTTAAACCAAAAGGCATCCCTACAGATTCAAACGTGCTAAGACCC